GACGAGATGATTTTCACGATGCCCCAAAGGATCAATGAATTCCACGAAGCGAAAGGAAGATCTACTAGATATTAATTAAATTATAAATGTATCAATTCATGTGAATATGACTGAAAATTTTAATTTTTTCTGAAAAGGTGGTGTCTATTTAATTGTGACCAATTTACTACTTTTGACCATGTTAATTCAAATGTGTCGAGTATTGCTGAATGTAGCCATTTCACATATCTATGTGCATACTTTGATATTTCTAAGTTAAATAGATGGCAATACATCAAATTCACAGAGAGCTTACTTCTCGCTCAAACATTAAGAGATTTCGAGAGCAACTAGTTGACTGTTGCTTGGTTTCATGATATGTCAACATGACCTATGGTAGGTGTTGATCTTCACTATTTCCACCACGTTTTCAACTGGGACTTCAAACTGAGGATGATAGGATGAAATGTACTTTTTCATCATACCTAACACTCGACGCAACTCTGCAAACAACTGGCTGTTGGAGTTAGTTCCATTATCTGGGCGAATTTCCGCTCTCTTAGTGAAGTGATTGATAATGACAAGTACATTCTATTGCCACTCATATTTTTTAGACAGAGGAACAATTATATCCAAGGTGAGTCACTCCACAGGAGAACCTATATATTGTATAACTATGTCGTAGCTTTCACTGGTGTGGACAGTTTTATCTGGGCAGCATATGTAGTAAATTTTCTATATCATTGACCAAAATTTACACGTGAATATGGTCAGAAAAAAAAACACTTTTATATGCTAACAATAGTGTACAACACTTCCTGGTACTTCTGATTAAGAAGTTAGCACACAAGATCACATATAAAAGTTGTAATGATTTTCAAACAAGACCCAAAACTAGTGTATTCACTATTCGAAAGCGCTCGAGTTTTGGGTCTCGTTTGAAAACCATTACAACTTCCGCTACTTTTCAGTCTTTGCACTCTGCAATGTCTAAGAAATTTTCTTTCTTAAGAGCTCTGGGGACCATCAACTGTAACACAACTTCAGAACCACTTCTTGGTAGTTGATAAAAGTGGTATAGAACGTTTTCCAGCATTTGTAACTATTCTTACAACTGTCCCAGGCTACATGCATCTGTGTTACATTTCTAAATTTGCGCTAGCCATGCTTCACCTTACTGTATGCCAAGGAACATTTACGCTAGTTCTGGGTCATTCAATTGCTCTAATCAGAGTACTCGAAGTATTAATCGCGGTATGCAGTTGACAGTGGAATCTCCTATGTTATGAGTTAATGTGATTATAGTAGAAATGGTTTTAATCTACACATAGTATCCAAGGTAGGGCTTTCAACAAGTGCACAGTCTCGCAGTAAAGCAAGATAATCAATCGGTATTTCCATATTGCAAATCCGCCATTCTCCTACAATTATTTTAAGTTACAGCTTTTACGGTGAGGAAGAATATTTTTAAAACAGGTACGAAGTTTCGATCACTGGTGTAATCATTTTCAAGTAAAGTAAGTAAAATCAGAATAAAACTATTAATTCTCTTACAATGTTGTTATCCAAGGTGTAATCGTCCCTTTTGGATTTTTAATGTTTCTAAGCCACTTTGGCAATGCATGATCCTCCTGGAGGGTGAATTTTATACCATTAAAGAATTGTTGGTGGTGTTTAATGAAAACCAAACAATTATTTCTTCATCATGCACAATTAGAATTCAGAAGCCATGAGCGTATGACTAGCATACATTATTACACATTCCACTCAGTCTTGCAACTGTGATTACACTGACTCAATTCCACTATTGCAGGCATCAGTACCCAATAAGAACTCACAGTCCTGTCATGGATATGACAGCAGAGAAGTTTTCATTAATGCTGGCTTTAGCAACAGAAATTGTTAGTCACAAACAATCCTAAGGTCCACATAAAATATGCATTGACGTTAGTAAGAGCAGATAATAATGTGGTGATTTGGAGAAGTTGGCCGCAAGGTGTTGGCAATAACGAAGTGAAAATAAGGAAACAAGACATTCATCTGTATGAGGTCAAGTAAAAGCATCACTATATTTTACCATATTTACCTGTGTGTTCTACAGAGAACCTATGCATCGCTTCCTTCTTTCTGAAAACCCTCACTGGAGATGACCATGTACTCTCTGAAAATTGTATATATCTCATGCAGCATCTACTCGATTTCAATATTGGTAATATTCTTGGTGCTCCAAGAAAGTAGTGACTGTTTTATTGGATATACTTGTATCTATTTAATGCTATCTGATCCATTTGGCCATCTTGTTTTTATGGACATGTCGGCAAACTCTTTGAGGCATTCACTTAATTAGTGTTTCTGTGTTAAGTTCAAATTATCAGCACAGTCTTAAACTAGAGATTTCAGATGCCCTTAAAGTTCAACGTTTATTCTTGAACACAATACAGTGGTTGCAATGCTAGTGATTTGTCTAGTTTATGTAATTTGGGTCTGTGTTACCATACTAACAACATTCCAGCTGGAAGATGAATAGAGAAATATCAATTGAGTTGAGTACAAGGAGACAATTCTGGAGCTTACGATGATACCTCATATGGAGGCCAGCTTCCACCAAGGAGGTAATAGAAATTTTTACAGTTTCAACTGTTAACCTTTCACGTATGTTATATTTTAATTTTATGGTTTTATTTCTGTACTTCATACTTACTGGAGCAGTAATCCTTTCATCAAATGCAATAAATCATAATAGGAGCCCATTAACTGTTTCCTTTAGAGCTAACAAACAGCAAGTGGGTATCATGTTTCTCAATGTGCTAGAACTTGTAAAACTTTTATTGAAGTGTAGTTAAGCTAAGCTGAGAAGTTTATTATTTCCATATTTTAATTAATTTTGTTAAAAGGTATATACCAATAAATAAAAAATGCACGTAAATATAATGAGGATTTGTAGTACTCACTGCTTACTCGAACAGTTTGCACTTAAATACAAATCTAAGACATTCTTCTCTAAGCCTCATGGACTCTCACATATTTGGATGTCCGAAAAGAATGTAACTATCAAATATGCTTTTTAGAATACAAACATTATATCAATACAAGAATAGAATGCCCCAAAACTACTGTAATTTATCAGTTTTTCCAAGTGAATTATGAAGGTGTTAAAACATGTCCATCAGCCTTGTAAAGTTCATTAACAATCTCTAAAGTTGGGGACTTGTGTTGTGGGAATGACAAATTTATTTATATCTCAACAAATAAATAAAGTAGGAGGTTCAAATTTTAGCTTCTTGCTTGTAATTATGTATAGTTTGGGTTTTTAATTAGTTGGAAACTTCAGCAGCCTATTTTTGAAAACTTTGGAGTGGAAAAAGTGGAGCTCAGACTCATTAAGTGAGACTGAGAATTTTTCTACATATTTTTTCTTTTTAAATTAAGAAGTTAAACCCTAGATAATATAAAATCTTTAATTATAAACTGTGTTTCTTGCGAAGTTTGCTCTCATATATTGATAATAAAGTCGTTTCATTAAAATTTGGTTGTAAAACCATAAATGGTCACTATTTCCACAAAAGAGCCAGGCCTGAATGTGAAAGGTCAAATTGTGATGCTGGCAGGAACTTGCTACCAGCTTTCCTGCCAACAAGTTCCAGATAGGTCTTTTTCTTTTCCTAGAAGTTCAGGCATGTTCATCCTGTTATATGTAACATCTTCAGACAAAGGAAACAATGAGTTGACTCAGTGCACAGGAGTTCTTGCCATTGTAAAGTTTGACATGTCATGAAACACATCCCCCATCATCCTTAGCCTTCAAACAAGGATTTTGAGCATTGTCAGTATGACTTTCTACTGACTAACTCCTTGTCTTGCTGAATTATACCTAGATATCAGCTTCTCCACTTGATAGTGTTGCAATGAAAGTTTCAAATGCAGGCCAGCTTACAGATTTTATCAATCTCCTTGTATACAGATGATGTAAACCAGTATTTTGTTATGTCTGTACTTTTTAACAAACACTATTGAGTTCCTCAGAGACCAGACCAGTAAGTCTTGGGACATTCATACTGCTTGATGCCATCATAACCCTTCTCTGCCTCCCTAAACTCTAGATCATTATAAAATAGCCATTAGATGTCACACCAAGGACATCCAGGACAGCCTCAGTTAGGAACCCATCAACATCTTAGTCCAAAGAATGAAGTGAAAATGTGGACATAGTTCTCACCATTGTCAATGAAAGCTCTGGGTTTAAGATAGTGCTTCTGATCCTTATTGCATTCTAGATTTGAGTCCTAACTTCAATTGCAGCTTCCTCCTCTCTGCCTTAAGTGTTACACAGTTTCAAAAACTGCCCTTACTTGATCATTATTCACCAATGTTATAAAGAAAATAGCACTAATTAAATATAACCTCCATAATAACAAATTATTTGATCATGGCAAAATGCTACTTTTAATTAATTGGTTTAATTAATTCTCTGGTAATTAAGTACACTGAAATCCAACAGTTTGCTAAAAGTTTCAGCAAAAATGCAGGTTCAGAAAATATTATGTAATGAATAAATTGAACAAGAGTAGCAAAGTTAAAACAAGCAAACATAATCTTTATTCACAAAAGTATTTATGTAAGATATCAACTACCTGGCTTCTACTTCCTGTTTTGAGCTCAACTACCTCCTTAGCTAAAAAAAGAGGCCTTCCAAAAACATCTACAAGGGGCTAAGACAGGAAAATAATGCTATCCTAAACTTTCAAGTTAGTCAAAATGATCTTAGTGTGGTATCCCATAATCTTTAGATTAACTGTGTCAGTGATTATTTTAAATAATATGAACAAGGGATAATACACCAATTCACATCTACTTGCACATGTATCTGTGGCACCCCTTGAGAGATATGCTCAACACCAAGACATGAACAAAGACACAAGCCTTTGTTGTACATAACCTTGATTTATGCAAAAGGATTAGTACACATTATGATCTTTAGACATCTGGTTTACAAGAATGTCATACCTATATGCAGAACATCTTCACAGAAGTTTAGATAAATTACCTGAATATACTTTATTATTACAATTGTGATAGTGTCCTAACCAAGATTTGACCATGAGTCTGAATCAACTGTTTGAATGTCTTTAAGAATGGTATCCAGGTTTTGAATCAACTAACTATTTAATGCTTTTAAGATGGGTATCCAAGGTTTGCTGCCTTCAATACTAGGTTGACTGTGTTATCAGTTAAGTGGATACAAGACGGCTTCTTTTTTCTCATTTGTGGTTCATATTTCAGTTTTACTGTATGGTCTTCTCTGGCTTGATGAGCTCTTTCAAATAGAGCAGTATTACATAATTTTGTATGTACATCATGCTCCTGGATTCTAACTTTGTTAACCTTTGCCTCTCTATAGAGGAATATGTCTGTTTGTCTGTAGTTTGCTTCCCGCATATTCTTGGTATATGCAGGAAACAAACATCCATTGTCAAAGAGTATTGTAGTGGTGTTTTTCTCTTTCTTCCTTTTTCTTGGCATTTTCTGTATTACAAATCCTGTTCATTCTGGAAACCAGGCAGTCTGCTATATCCATCTTTAAACTGTTGGGATGGCTTGATTTATAGTAAAGATATTAAACAGTATCTGTTGGTTTTCTGTAAATTCCTCTGGTATATGAGTTATCACTTGTTAACAATCACATCTAGGGATACGAGTCTATCTTTTTCTTCTATTTAAATTGTTATTAGTATTGCTGGATGTTGTTTGTTCAGGTGGTTTATGAATTATGGAATTTTATCTGTGATATGTGGCCATATTAGGAATGTATTGTCAACATATTTTAGCCAGATCCTGAGTCTTAAGGCAGCTGAGGTCATTATCTTCAAAATGTTTCACGTACAAATTACCTATTACTGGTGATAGGGGTATGTATGCCCATGACTAAGTCCTCTTGTTGTTGGCAGTATTTATCTTCATGTTAGAAGTTGTCTTGTCTGTTGGACATATATCATTTTCAAGCTGTTGGCAGAGTATCTGTAATATTTCAAGGGTTGGTACTTTAGTGAACAAGTAGGGTACATTAAAGCTGATCATTACACCATGTGAGTATATCGTGGTTGTTCATATAATCTTTACAGTATGAACAGAGTTCTTAATATAAGAGGATGTTTTACCTGTTAATGGTGATAATATATCTACCTAAGGGGTGGCATGATGAATCTTTATAGTTAATATGGGATAGGGAGGGTAGAGTAGCCTAGTTTGTGAATTTTAGGCCTAGACGTATGGTCATGGTGTGGCTTAACTGTCATTTTATTAGCCTTGTTTGTGAATTTTTAGCCTAGATGTGTGGTCACGGTGTGGCTTAACTGTCATTTTATTAGCCTTTTTTGTGAAATTTAGGCCTAGATGTGTGGGCGTGGTGTGGTTTAACTGTCGTTTTATTAGCCTTGTTTGTGAAATTTAGGCCTAGATGTGTGGCTTTACTGTCATTTTATTGTTTCTGTTCCAAGTTCTGATGTTTTTTGAAGAGTTAAAAATCTTTATCTCCGTTTTAGATACAGGATTATGTGTAGTAGCCATCTCTTCAAATAGTTTTGAGCTTGATGGTGTATTCTTTGTCTGTGATTATGCTGGCATTACCTAATGTCTGCTGGTAGAACTGTTGTGATATTGTCTTTCTTTAAGTTCCCAATGGGAGTTTTTCTTTTAGTGAGGTATTCTATAGGGGTTTACATTTCATGGCTTTCTGACCTTCATTTTGATCTTGAAATGTTTTTCTTCTTCTGGTAGGTTGTATGTTATGCCTTCTATGGTTGTACCTGAATTTAAGGTGGGTATTTTTGTTATGTGTTAGGAAAACGTTTAGCTCTTATTAACCTTTCTTCATGTTCTGTTGATGGTCATTTACTTATGTTTACTAGTGTACATTTAGGTGTGTTTGTAGTGCAAAGATTATTTTGGTTTTGAGAACTGATTAATTAATTTCGTTTCTATATATGAATTTCATTAGCAAGTGAAAGGGTTTCTAAAATAGCATAAGGAAAGGCAGAATAATATAAAATACACAAAATGGGCTAATTCACTAAGTATATATGCAGAGGAACTTATAAAGTCTTTATACAATGCAGTATGCTGGACATTATCAAGGAACAATCATCAGACTTGAAATTTAAATTTAAATACACAAAATGCACATGTTATATGTGTGTGTGTATCAAAAACACATACTTCATCACTTTCATACGTATCACCACAAAAAACACACAAATAGTAACCACTTAAAAACTGTTCTAGCATAGGTTTTCTAAATTAAATGTCATTAAGTGTCCTTAAGGTTAGTTTAGAGGTTTACCTTTTTTTTTTTGAGCAGTTAAATCAAATAACTGCATGAATGTTTTTCATATCTTAACTAATAAAAATGCTCAAAAGCAGTTTGGAGATTTAGATATGTCCAAAGAGAATTTATGATTATAGTTCAAACGTATCTACATAACTCATGTATGTTGAGGTATTCTAATGGTAAGTTGCTAATTACTCCAACATGGTGGGCGAGAAATTAAACAGACATTTTGAAACAAAAATGTAGCACATACTAAACATTTTTCAACCCTATTTCTTTCCCTGCTATTGTTTATGATGTCCTTCAATCAATATCATAACAGTTGACAAATAAGTCACAAGTAGTATAGAATTTTTAAAATCTATCCTGAATCTATTACTTTCACCAAATTCCTGAAAAGACTTTTCCTATAGCTTTACTCATGTTTCCCTTCTGTTCTAGTTTTCAACCTGTTGTATTTTAAATTTGTACACCAAAGTGTGTTACTTCAAATAGTCTAATATATATATTACCTTTAACAATAATCAATACTTGACCTTTTTTCTTACTATTTTAAATTTGAATCGAAATATTTAATCATTCCTTATCAATATGTTTCAATAAAAATATTAATTGGCAACAAACTGAGTCCTTACACCCATTTGTGCTACTCACAAGTGGTTTTATTAGCATTTCGTGTACAGATATATATATAATAAACTTTAATTACCACCACTTCAATATTGTACTAACTGTGAAAAGGGATTCTTTGATGGCTTCTGAATTGTTTAACACGAAATATGCAAGAAAACAGCAAACATATATATATATAATAAAAAATATGTCAAAATTTTTCATTCTGCTTAATACATCTTAATAAATTTACCACTTACAGAAAATAAAGAAACTAGCTAACAAGAAAAAAAAAAAATCCAATATGTTTACTAGTATACTTACACATAAATCAAAATAATAATTGTAAGCTATCACTGAGGTTTTTGGCAGTAGCAGCAGGATACTGCACAATTACAACTTTACTTAATGTTAACAAGGCATTCAAAAGCTTCTTAATGGGGATTTACCAAATAATCCCTTTTCAGGTGCAGAATTTCCTTGAAGTGAAACAGTAAGGAAGTTCAAACAACTTCAAACTTATCTACAATCAAGATAGTATCTGAAGAATACTTTACAGGTTCTGATCCTTCCACAAGTGTAACATCACGGACCTATTAGGAAGAAACAACATAATTTTAAAAACAGCTCATTTGAAAATGTCACTGGTACATAACTGAACATTTAATTTGAGCATTAGTATTAAAGTATATTAGATTATTTCTTTATTATTACTTTTATTAACAGTATTGGTTTTGCACAGTTACTTTAATATATATATATATTTAGGACTAATCTAAATCTCCCAAGCTGACTGAACCTCATGAAATATTATTGGGATTATGGCCAACAATATCTTTAACAGAGAGGGTACACAACTGATGAAACAATGCATTCTAATCATAAGTAGGAATGTAATAAAGTATATTTACTTAGCTATACTCATTACTAGGTTGATTTATAGTTTCATTCTACGTAGGTAGCTTTCTATAATCAGAAGTTAATATAAGTTCAAACTTGAGACAGGTAGTTTACTGTTAAAAGTGCTCTTATTGTTTAAAGAAAAAAATCAAACTTTTCCTATTCTATTTCAATTTCTTTACAAAAACTTTTATCTACAATATTTGTTTTAGTTTCATCTAAATCAAAGGTAGCAAATATGGTCTTATATAAACTCTTGTTAAATATATTTATAACTCACAAAACTGTTATTTTTTACATTACTTTCTTATTTAAGGAGTAATAATTAATTATAATATTTATGATTTCAGCCTTTTTTGTCTTTTATATTAATTTGAAAAGAATAGTACAAATCTTTTTATTGACAAGCAAGCTTCAAATAAAAAAAAATGTCAACATTTCATACATATTGTTATACAGTGATTCAGAAGTCCATTGACAGGCAACTATTTCAGAAATGAAGTATATGAAAACAATTTATTATAATATCGAATCAAGTACCGAGGTTTCACCCCGTGATGATGTCATTGAAGTCATTCAAGAATGTGTCCTCTGGAAATTTTATATGAATCATACATCCAAAATGTCAGTGATAAAATAATAGTTGAAACATTTGAACCAAAAATTACCTATATTTTTCCTCAAGAACAACATTTATAGGCATAAATACACCTCAGATTTTTTGATTAACAGGTCACTGCATTTTTGAAGGACCAAAAAGGTTAAAAAGTATTAAACTAAAAATCCTCTATATAATTCAGCATGCAAACAATATGCTTAAACAGCTCCCATATCATCTCAATCACAACACAGCATTCAGCTGAAGGTCCTAGAGTGAAGAGGATGCTACCAGATTGTATATTGAATGGTTCTTTGATGAACGTCTTCCTTCACGTCAGATAAGAAATGTTAGAGGCTGGATTCTACAGGCTCGATTACAGACTACGAACAGCAACTAATACTGAGAATGAAGGCATTTATTGGCTGCTTGACATCATTTCATAATACTGTTAGGATAGTTATGCCTTATAACTGTTGTTGTGAAGCAATTTTGGTTTAAAATGTTTAATTTATTATTGTCTACACCTCTGCAATCGATGTCTTTTGTGTATGATATATATAAACGAATGTCATTAAGAACATGACTTTGAAGTTAGCATGAATGAGCTAAATAAAACTATCACAAGTTAAGTCCACATTATCCCATTCCATACCACTAGTAATTATTTTCTATACCTCTTCAGTTCTAAATTTTTTGCCTGTTGAC